TTAAATAATACTTTTACCATGACATAATAGCATTTTGAAAATTGTTTACAATGCAAAAAAAAAGATACATTTTCCAATCACAAATATACATTTAGATATTTAGATGATATATTGGCTCTCAATAATGACGACTTCAGTATGTACACTAAAGAGATTTATCCTGCCAAACTGACCTTAAATAAAGCTAATACTAACAATGAACACTGCCCTTTCCTGGATCTGGATATCTATATCTTTAACGGGAAGCTTAATACCAAAATTTATGACAAAAGAGATGTTTTTTCATTTCCTATTGTTAATTATCCATTTTTAGATGGTGACATTGCCTTGTCACCATCTTATGGTGTTTATATATCTCAACTTGTTCGATTCACTCGTATATGTAACAACGTATTTGATTTTAACGAAAGAAATCTCTGTATTACTGAAAAATTATTACACCAGGGATTTTGATATCACAAACTAGTCAAAACATTTACTTAATTTTATCATCGGTACAAGGACATCATTCGTAAATATAAATTAACATGCAGACATCTTATACGTTCAGGTATTTCACATCCAATCTTTTATGGTAATATTCTTTACAAATATGTCGGCATTCACCTCAAAAGCTAACCAAACCTTTAAACAGACTTATTCAGAAGGGATATAGTTACGATACTGTTGTCAAATCATTAAGGATTGCATATTTTGGTATTAATATTGATTCACTCATAGGGTCTTTGCATCGGAAATAAACACATTTATTCTAAAACCAGTTATTGGCATGATACGGGTTATGTTCTTCTCATATATTTTATGATGGTATGATACTAAACCCCTAACGGGAGGGATTGTACTTGATTTTCATATGATGAAGACATAATCTTCCAATCAATTTTATTGAGGTCTGGAGCTGGCATGTCAGTAACTGCTAGTAGTCCTTAATTTGTTAATTTATGTATCATTATCATTTTGCTTAGTTTCTTTTGTTACCTATTCTGATATCGGACTCGGACTTGTTTTGAACTGAGTTTTACTGTGCGTATCGCTGTGTGTTTCTTTGTTCTACATTGGCTGGAGGTATGGGGGGAGGGGGGAGATCTCACAAAACATGTTTAACCCCGCCACATTTTTGCGCCTGTCCCAAGTCAGGAGCGTCTGGCCTTTGTTCATTGTTGTTAGTCTTGTATGTTTTTTAATTTTAGTTCATTTATATGTTTTGGAGTTTAGTATGGCGTCCATTTTCACTGAATTAGTACACATTTTTATTTAGGGGCCAGCTGAGGACCATCTCCGGGTGCGGTATTTTCTCGCTGAGTTGAAGACCCATTGGTGGCCTTTAGCTGTTATCTGCTCTTTGGCCGGGTTGTTGTCTCTTTGGCATATTCCCCATTTCCATTCTCAATTTTATTACAAAAGAACAATTAAAGATATTACAAAAAAAGATATATTAAAAAAAAATTCAGTAAAACTTCTATTCCGTGACACTACTATCAGCCATATGGACACTATATTTTGTGTATATAACGATTGTTAGGTGTTCATGTCTGTCTAGCAGTTTTCATCTGACCTTAACTTTATTTTCATGGTTCATTGTTCAAGGTTAAGTTTTCATGGTTTTGTCCATTTCTCAGATACTATAAGCAATAATCATCTTTGGTGTATGAAATGCTTGTAAGGTGTAAATGTCTGTCTGGTTGAGTTGTTAGCTTTCAAGTTTATCTCTGTTTCCAGATATTATAAATATAGGTTAACGGTATTTTGTATATGATATGATTGCATTGTGTACACGTTGTCTGGCAGGACTCATCTGACCTTGACCTCATCCAAATGGTTCATTAGTCAAGGTTCAATTTGGTAATTGAGTCTGTCTCTCAGATACGTTAAGCAATAGACTAACTTTATTTGGTGTGCGTTATGAAATTTGATTATGATAAGTAAAGCAGGCGAGACTTTCAGCGTTTGCATTCTTATTTTGCTTAAGATCGTAAAACAAGATTCGTTTCGCTACGCTCTGCAGTATTATCACCATACGGACAATTGCAGCCCTTTTCTTCAGACTATGGATCTGCCCCTGAAATTATGAATATAGATATCCACCTCTATTTTTATCATTCAAAGTTCTGTCAAATTTTTTATTAAACATAAACATTATAATAATATATAAACCAACTTTAGGGTTTGGAATGCTTGTAAGGTGTACATATCCGACTGGCAGGTTTCATTTGACCTTGACCTCATATTCATGGGTCATTGATCATATTCACGGGTCATTCATCAATGTTAAATGCTTGTTTTGGCCATTTATCAGATACTATTGCAATTGGTCAACTATATTTGGTGTATGGAATGATTTTAAGGTGTACATGTCCATCTGGTAAGGTTAATCTTAACTTGACCTCATTTTTATGGCTCACTGGTCAATGTTTAATTTTGTGGTTTGCTTTTTCTCAGATACTATAAGCAATATATTAGCTGCAATTGCAGGGGCGGATCCAGCCATTTTTAAAAGGGGGGTTCCCAGCCCAGGATAAAGGGGGGGGGGGGGGGGGTTCCAACTATATGTCCCCATTCAAATGCATTGATCGTCAAGAAAAAAGGGGGGTTCCAACCCCCGGAACCCCCCTCTGGATCCGCCACTGAATTGGTGTATGGAATGATTGTAAAGTGTACATGTCCGTCTGACAGGTTTCATCTGACCTCGACCTTTTTCATGGTTCATTAAACAATGTTAAGTTGTTCCTGTTTGGGCTATACCTCAGATACTATGAGCCATTAGACAACTGTATTTGGTGTATGGAATGATTGTTAGGTGTACATGTCTGTCTGGCCGTTTTCATCTGACCTTTACTTCATTTTCATTGTTCATTGATCAAGGTTATTGTTTTATGGTTTTATCCATTTATCAGATAATATAAGCAATTGATCAACTATGTTCGGTGTATGGAATGATGGTAAGGTGTAAATGTCTGTCTGGTAGAGTTCAGCTGACCTTGATCCCTTTGCATTGTTCATTAGTCAAGTGTTAAATTTTCAGGGTTATCTCTGTTTCTCAGATATTATATATAAACAATAGGTTAATTGAATGTGGTGTATAAAATAATTGTATGGTGTACACGTTGTCTGGCAGGGCTCATCTGACCTTGACCTCATTCCAATGGTTCATTAGTCAATGTTCAGACTTGGTAATTAGGTCTCTTTTTCAGACTCTTTAAGCTGTATGCCAACTTTATTTGGTGTGTGTTATGAAATTGGAAAATAAAAGTAAAGCAGGCGAGTAGTTTCAGCGTGAGCACTCTTGTTTTCTTAAAATCGTAAAACAAATTTCGGTTTCGCTACGCTCTGCAGTATTCTTACCATTTTGGACAATTCTATGCGACTTTCATACAAGTGAGCGATTTAGCTAGCTATAAAACCAGGTTTAATCCACCATTTTCTACATAAGGAAATGTCTGTACCAAGTCATGAATATGATTGTTGTTTTCCATTCGTTTGCTCAAACTTTTGATTTTGCCATTTGATAAAGGACTTTCCGTTTCGAATTTTCCTTGGAGTTCGGTATTTTTGTTATTTTACTTTTTAAAACCCCCTAGTTTTTTCGTCGGACCCTGGATCCGACCATGTAAATATGAGTATACATATCCATATTGGATAAAATTTGATAATCTAATAAGATCTTTGTCAGCGGTGTATTGCACCCGTAATATTATACACAATAATCAACAAATAATTGATGGTACCGTTTATGGACCGTGCTGCCAATGTATTTACTTTTGATTTATTCACAATAATTATGAATTAATTCAAAATGACTTAAAATGCATATTTTTCTATTTTATTACCATGTTTGTATTGTTACCATTCTGTGGTTATTTGCGAGGGAAAAAATGGCCTAGAACGATGCCAGTTTCTTTTTCTTACTTTTTACAAAATCAAAACATTTCATCATATTTATTTATACAAAACAAAACAGAAATTAATTTTAAAGGGGCATGGCTGTCAAATCTGTGTCCACCGATTTGACTCAAATTCTCATATTTGATTTATAACATACTAAAACGTATATCCAAGTCATAAAAAGTCTAAAATAAACAATTAACGATCCATGGACTCGATAATATGTATCAACATTACGTGTGTGTTTTAATCTAGATATAAACATAAATATAGATATAAAAATAGAAGACGTGCAATAGGACTTTTCTAGTTCTGTTTGATTTCATATTATAAGTTGAAAAAATCGTTAATCATCGTTTTCACCTGTATAAGAATGAGTTTTTTTGTGGATCGAACCAATCAACCAAAGGGTTAACTCTTGTTTCACTTTCAATGTTGACATTCTTTTCCTTTTGATAGCTGAACCCGCCTATTTTATGCGTAATCCATCTCTAGCTAAGGGGTTAAATTGAAGGTCACATGAATACGGATTCAATGAGGTCCAATTATTCACTTGCAAGTGAATAATTCATCAGCGATGTTTCTTTGCTTATTTTGACAAACTTGAACCAAACTTGCTGCTAAAAGCGAATTATTATTTCACTATTTTACTTTCATTAGTGATTGAACAAAAACAAATCATATTGTTTTTTATATCTCGTAGCTAATGCCACTTTAATGCATGTTTGTTTGATAACTAGTAAATCAACATTTGAGGTCTCAAATTATATAAATCATACTGTTAATCACATATTGCTTTGCAATCATCATTCCTACTTGTAAATGATTGTGATTTCATCCTGTCATTCTTAAATAATCTATATAAAAAACAGTCAAATTTCTGGTCTGTGCGCAATTAAAATATGTATGTACCATCTGCTGAACGTTTGAGTACAAACACTAAGGTGCTCCGGAAGGGTTACACTATTTTTTAATATGATTTTCAGTGTTGTGTACAAAGTGTTACATATGCTCTGCGTTATTAATTAGCGTCAATAACAAGCTCCATATAGTGAGCTAAGCTTTATCGATCAATCATGTAACATGTAAATTGCCAGAAATTAAGGAGTTGGAGAAATAAAAAATAAACCATTTACCACATTTATGTTAATGAAATCAAGCTTCGATCATTTACACCGAAAATCATCTCTAATTTGACATTCAATATAACCTTAGTAAGTTACCGTCACTACCGTTATGATTCTTTCGACTCAAAGATAACTTGCACTAAACAAAAGTGTGCGATGTATTAGTTCTAAACAATCAGCCGTTTCAGTACGACTTATTTTTACTGTATGCGCCCTAATAAAAAAAAGCTATAAAAGTGTAGCAAGGTGTTCATAGTTTTTTTATATATGAAAATGTACAATATGTTAAAACTATTTAAAACATCGTTGAACAAAAATGAACTTGAATTCGATTCAGTTATATTTAATTGTTACCTATTGAATTGTTTTGAAAAGTAGCCCGGGAATTTGCCCCTGCACTACGCTAGTAGATGAGTTTCGATATATTAGAGATGATTCGAAAGTAAAAGTTACACCTTCATGGTCAACTTTTGCTTGTCCATGAGTTCCATAGTAGAAAATCATCACGTTGGAAGTATTGACACATAATTTTATATCATACATTTGGTTAGCTGACAGTTTTACAGCCTTTGGAAATTCAACATGCACCACATTGTCCACGGCCTCCCTTTTGTCCACGTCGGTCGTTATTTCGACTAAAATGTTAGATTCATGTCCTAACGTAACGGTTATTTTACAATCTTGCTTGCAACAGAAAGACAGAATTCCAACAAGGTAAATGTCACTTGATACTTGAACTGAAATTGCATTTACACAGGATCTATGCATACCCCAGCATGTTTCAAACGTTTTGAAACGGTTAAATTTGTGAACGCTTGAACAAGGTATTTTACATTTTTCATGTAACAGATTTTCAATTTTTTCAGTGAAGTTTTCAACACTGGGTAGTTCGACCTGAGCAGGCATGTTTAACTTATCGTTTAGTAACTTCTTGTGTCCTTTGAGTTGGCTTCTTATTTTCAATAATTCTAGCAATACTTGCACATCCGATGCCTTTTCCTTGCTTATTTGTAAAGTTTCATTTTCATAGTTTATGGCTTTCAATCGGTTTTCAAGTCCAGTTATTCGAGTTTCTAAACCACTTTTCTTTTCTTCAAAAATCTTCAGCAATTCAGCTTTTCTTTCTGTCTCAAAAGCCCGAACTTTGTCCATCATTTCCTTACACGTGGCTTCTATTGTTTTCGATTTAACTTCATAATCCGATTTTAAATCTTCCAAAATATTTCTGTTGCCCGAAATGAGAGTATTCATATTTTCACAATACTCTTTAAGTTCGCTCTGGATTTTGTCAACAGAATTTTCAGACAAATAAACTCTAGCAGCATCTTCAATTGCAACTATTTCTTCACATTTTCTGTGTGTAATAGAGACACACATAGAGCAACAAGGAATGTCATGATCTTTGCAGAAGAGTTTTATTTTCTTATTCGTGTGTTCACTACATTTACTGGCAAAAGTTTTAGGCATCTTGTCCTCAGGAAACACATCAGACAGTGACCTTATCTCGTGATCTGCGCTGACTTTATTCGCAGTGTGGCATTTATTACAGGTGTCACACAAAGTATCGGAGCAATTAACACAAAGATAAGCCGCTGTAGACTCTATTCCTAGCCTTTCACAAGACATGCATCGCTTTTCTGGCCGGTGTATCTTCTTCAAGTCTAACAATCCGACGATAAGAAAATTCACTGGGAGGTGTTTGGCCACATCATCCGAGGAACATTTTTCTTGTAGGTTTGATACAACTCCTCTACACACTGGACATGCGAAATCAAGTTTGTTGCCCTTTTCAAAGCAGGAAGCAATAAAGGTCGAAATACATCCTTCACAAAATGTATGTAAACACGGTAAATATTTAGGGCATTTAAATTCTTCAAGACATATTGAACATATCAATATGTCATCGGTCGTGTAACATGTAGATGTGGCCATGTTTCATGCGGTTAATGTCTGCATTTAATCCTAATTTTTATGTTTCGTTTTCCTTGCGATATAACTAATATGGCTGTTCGTGAATGTATGGAGGCGTATGAGCACCACTTTGAAAACTAAAACAATTGTATTCTTTTCAAAATGTGTGCATGAGCGTTGCAACTATTTGTCATCACTGCCAACATTACTAATTAACTGGTTTTTACAAAATTCATATTAAAGGTTTAAATCAATGGTTCAGTCAAGTTCGAATATCAGTGTCGGTCAAATTGTTTACAGGAGTTATGGTCCTTGAAAATGTTGATTTATTTCAAAACATGACTGCAATTTATGCGCTATTAAGCCTGCATTTCTTGTCAGAAATTCATGAAATTGCTTAAAAAAAAGGTTTATCGTAGCAGTGTCGATGCCGAGGTCGATAACGTCTGCCATACAATTATTTTTACAAGAGTTATGCTCCTTGAAAATAGAAAGAATACAGAAAATTGCATTTTCGAGACATACAAAGCCGACATGTGGTAAAAGAGCATTAAGGCCGAAATAAAAAGATAGAAACACTGCTGGGTATGTGCAGCCATCGAGCATTCAAACCGTTTTATGGTTTTAACTATAAATATTTGAGACAAAGTAGCGTATTACGATGCTTCTGGAAGGTAGACCCCACCCAAGGGTGACTGGGGAATAGACATTTGGCACCATTGGTCTTCCGCCGACCGGCAGTGAAACCCTTGTGGGGCGTCCGTTTGGTTGTGCGGGATGTACAAGTTTGCAGCCACGTCCGATCAGAATGGGGACGTTAAATCCGATGTCTCGTGTAAAGATAATGCCACGCTATTTGCACGTTAAGAACCCTTGCAACAACTCTTTGAGGGGCCTGTAGGTGGCCTGTTGCAAGGCTAAATTTCTGTCCCTCTCCAATATATCCTCATTTACCCGTGGCAGTCCAAATTACCCTGACCTTCATACCGGATGGCATCTATTACAGGGCCTACCTATTGTATTTATTATTAATTTGTTCTCGTCCTGAACATGCATGAAATATTTGTCACTGGACGTTAAGCAACCAACAATCAATCAATCATCTGGACCGTAGGTTTTCGTAGGATTTAAACTGGGAAAAGTCTCGTCTTTTCTCGTATCGTTCCATGTATTTGGGTAACTGATTTTATAACATTTTAATTCATGGCCATGTATTATTCAAGTTTAATAAAACACTCCCGAATCGTTATATTTACTTGATATATTAATCAGTATAATATCGACAAATTATTATCATATTATATTTATATCTAGTATTTAGATAGTATTTAGATAACTGTTACAGTATATGAGCAATGTGATCCAGTTAAAAATCTTTCCTGTCAGTGTTTATTGATTGCTTGTAATTTACAGTAATGGTGATTCAGTCTGCAATATCTCTGTATTTTAAAAATAGATATTACATTACAGCATCATAAATCAAAAGGATATCACCTGCAATCACCCTTTTTCACGGTGACTCAGTCAACACCAGCAATAATGGTTGTAACTGAATTCCCTTGTGTGCATTGTACCTTTTAATAACATTTGATATACATGTGACCATTTCAGGTTTCTTTCGATTGACTAGATAGAGAGATAATTTCAGAGTGAATCACCCAGGTACATTCAAAGGAAATGTTTAACTAACTCATCTTTATATATGACTTTGTATACTCTGTATTTGACGGTGACTATCAGAATTGCCTTATATATCTAATTTCATTTTATGTCAACTATGTATGCTTTAAAAAAATCAATTCATTGAAGCTTACAATATATGAAATGAAATATCTTGTCCATGGATCATTCTACTATTAATCTGCCAAAGGACAAATTCGGGTTTTCTCTCTTCTACTCAGCAGCTGAATTTTAAAAAAATGCCATCTAAAATTTTATAAAAATTGATACCTGAAAATTAAACTTTTAATACATTGTTGATAGAAAACAAGTACGTATCTGCACCCTTATATCAGAAATCATAGAGATGGGAGGTAAAATTCAGAAAATTTACTGTCACTATGCATGTACAAAAATATATTTGTTTGTGTTGTTATAAGGAAATAACTGTATTGTATGCAAGTATTTGCTAGCATCAATCTTAAATTGTGACTGTTTTGCTGAGTGTGAAACCGCATTGCTATAAGACGTGTCACGGTACTTTTCTATCCCAAATTCATGTATTTAATTTTGATGTTATATTTGTTATTCTCGTCGGATTTTGTCAAATGTCTCAACGTCTTTTCTGTTATATTCGTGTGTTATGGTAAAGATAATTAATCACCCCATTCATTTATTAGATTTTAGTTTGGTTCAACGAAATTTATACGATATATTTGGTTTACAGTTTGATTCAGAAGAAACACCGACATAGCAAGATAAGACAATAAATTATCTAATTACTACCACAATTTGATATTAATAAGTATTGTAATTTTCATTGTTATTAATAAATGTAATGTCAGTATTACAAATCTAATCTTAAATCAATCCTAATCCTATCTTATTTTTCGGAAATATTTTTACAAATTCAAATGTGACGTCACTTTGTGTGTTTTTTTAGAATTTCAAATGTGACGTCACTTTGTGCGTTGAGGCTTTGGCTAACTCGGCTGTGTATTTTTATGTGTTGGATTAAGTTGTGTTATGTAATGTATCCGTTTTTATTCTGTAGTTAGTCCCCACTTCAGTTTTATCATGTATATCTATTATATAGTCATTTTATAAAATTTACTGTTTGCAAAATTATAAATTATTCTAAATAATAAGGATGTTTTTGTCCCAAGCAGAAAACCCTGGCCGTGTTGGGCGCAACTTTTTGGAAGTTTTGGTCCTCGGTGCTCTTCAGCTTTGTACTTGTTTTGGCTTTCAAACTTTTTTCATCTGAGCGTCACTGGTTAGTCTTGTGTGGACGAGACGCACATCTGGCGTATTGGATTTTAAACCTGGTGCCTTTTGTCAGCTATTATTCGTGTGTTTCTTTGTCCTATATGTTCTCCCATTTATTTGTATTGTAATCCTGTCATGTAATGTTGTCATTTTAATGTTATATTTAACATTGCCATAAAAGCGGGAGGTTTGGCATGCCACAAAACCAGGTTAAACCCGCCATTTTTTCTTAAAATGTCCTGTACCAAGTCAGGAAAATGGCCATTGTTATATTATAGTTCGTTTCTGTGTGTGTTACATTTTAATGTTGTGTTTTTGTTGTGTCGTTGTTCTCCTCTTATATTTGATGCGTTTCCCTCAGTCTAAGTTTGTAACCCGGATTTGTTTTTATCTCTATCGATTTATGAGTTTCGAACAGCGGTATACTACTGTTGCCTTTATTTAGATAGTCACTACTTACGGTTGCAATTCAATGACCAGGTGAATCACAAATGGATTGTTACTTGAATAACTGTGTTTAACAGCAAAATAATAAATGACATGTGTTTTGTGACCGAGGATGATTATATAGTTTTATTAAAATCACTGAACAATCACATACAATCTCGAAAATTAACAAATTCTTCAATTTTCATAAAAGATCGTCAAATCAGAAAAAAATAATTAAACTGGTTAGTGGGATTAAATGTTGGGCAGCACTTGCGCTATATGACTTCAAAACTGGTGTTATAGATAAGATTGCAGAGCAAGGGTCTTGCGAAGCCGTTGTGAATGTTGTAGTTACGCAAGCATCATGGAAAGCGGTCCATGGGGCGTACGAAGCGTTATTGTGTGATGAGGAATCGACCTTTAATTTAAACTTGGGTAAGGAAAAGGTTATGATGTCAATGCTGCTCACTGCATAGACCAAGTTATGAGACCCAATGTGGTGAAATTTCGTGCACGTCATCGAAACCGCATTCTCTAGCAAGACAACACCCGTGCCCTCTTAACCTTGGTTTTTAGTTTTTGAGCCGAGTTTTAACGACGGCTTTATGAAGCTCAACCATGACCAAGAACTACGACTGAACTTAATGCATTCTTCGTGAGGGTATGAGAGCTTAGTTTCATGGCATTTATCAGCCGCCTTTTTCATTCCATGTACAGGAGATGTATTGATGTTATCAATATCAATGGTTGACGTACATGATATTGACTTTGTGTCGTTACATTTTGTTGCTGAATCTGTGATGCATTAACGACAAATTTACACGAACAAACATTAAGGATCATTTTAGAATCCAGTTTAGAAATCTGCTTTAAATGGCTTATGTATATTGTTAAAAGGATCATAAAAAGTAAAATAACAAAAATACCGAACTCCAAGGAAAATTCAAACACATCAAACGAATGGAAAACAACTGTCATATTCCTGACTTGGTACAGGCATTTCCTTATGTAGAAAATGGTAGAATAATTAGATATAAGAAGATGTGGTATGAGTGCCAATGAGACAACTCTCCATCCAAGTCACAATTTATAAAAGTAACCCTAACCCTAAACCTAGTTTTATAGCTAGCTTAACCTATCACTTGTATAACAGTCGCATAAAACTCCATTATATTGAAACAATGTGTGAGCAAAACAACAAGACATAATAGGTAAAAATGTAAAAAATTGGGGTACAGCAGTCAACATTGTGTTAAAAATTTTAATCACTATAAAACAAACAACTTCGTCAACAAAGACAAGCAAAATGTCATAAACACTCTATAGACAAAGCACATAAGCAAAAATGAAAGACAATAATACAAAAAAAAATGGCCATAGCACAATAACACAATGTCGGGATGTATAAATACCTAGCTACGCCAAAAGGATATTACCAAAGACAAATAAAAACACACTATAACACGTTATTAAGATGATAAACAACGCAGTACCTAGAATCTATACTTCAAGACCACATGTATTATTTGTCAACAAAGTCTTGGTTTCTTCCTATGAACTATGAACGAGATGATCTTTGACATAGCCCTGGTTCATCAACTTTCTGCTCAGACACTGGTGACTTTTTATAAAGTTTGAGCAGCTGTATGCTCTTGAATCCCAAATGAGTTGGGAAATGTATATCCGATATGCAGGTGAAATTGGAATATTGCTGCTAAGGTGGGTAGAATTT